ATTGGAGATGGAGATTTTTCTGTTCAGGTGGTAGATTAATGTAATCTTGTAAGTCCGACTTCTTGGTGAATGCTGTTCTAATCCCTTGTTTAAAGGTGACCCTGCCGCTCGGGCGCTGTTGTCAGCGCGTGCTATTTAAATATGTTGAGGGGATTTGCTGTGGCTTGTACATCGTGAGCTAACATGTGCACCTTTTAATTTGATTAGCTGGTTGTGATAATGAAATGTGGTATAGCGTGAGGGATGTGACAGTCAACTGCATCTTGGTAGATGTAAGTATGGGAAGTAAGAGAGCTCTGATGGTGTCTGGTCAGCCAGAGACGCAGCAAGCTGATGTTTCAAAAGCTTTTGGTTTTTTCTTGGGTGGAAATGCATAACTTTTGAAATGGAAAAATTATTTTTTTTCATACTGAATAAGTGGAAGATGTTAAAATAATGAGCTGGAAGGATATCTGAGCATTGGGCTGTGTCCTCCTAATCACAAAGACAAAATGACCAGAGACACCAAATAAGCGTAGGGCTTAGTGCCGGATTCCTCTTGCAAATGGAGCTCTGGAAGTAGTCATCTTGAAAAACACACAGGACTGTAGAAGTTTGAACTAAGTCGTCAGAGGTTGATGTGAAAAGCAGGGTGGGAGCGCAGAGACTCGGTAACTGGGTCTGGTTGAGTCGCAGCCCTGGTCTGTAGTCTCTGGGCACCATCCCTCAGCTCAAACATGGTCTACCAAGAGAGAAAAGGAGCAAATGTGTCCTGCCATGAGGTTCCTCCCTGCTGTGCAGGAGGGATGGTATTGCCATGGGGCAGTTTGGGGATACAGTTGTCTCAGGGTTGGGCAGGTGACCCTTGCAAGAGGAGGAGTGCCAGCCTGCCAGGTTTCTATCACAAGTACAATTCTTATAATTCAAAATTTTATTTCAGAAAATGTCAGTGTCATAAAAATTCAGTACTAGAGCTGAAGGAGATGGTACCAATGAAAACTGATGTATCTGATCAGCTTCCCTGCTAGACTAGGAGCTGCTCCAACCACACTGCAACTGCTAGCAGCCTTGGGAAGACCATGTCTCACAGACCCACCAATAGAGCCTCATGCAACTTATTTCCTTCAGTGAAAATTTAAATTCTGCAGAAATCAGTTGCCTAGAGGTCTTTCATCTCCAAGGAAGTTGCCTTCTTGCCTTAGTTGTTGTTTTCCATGCTTGATTAAGAGCATCAATGAAGGAGGAACATAACTGTTGAGAACTGAAGGAAGTGCCATGTGGATTTGGGTTTGCAGGCAGGATCTGTGAGCCTTGTGAAGGAGACTGAGGATCTCAGTCTGGAAGGAAAAGGGTGTCCTTAGGGACTCGCCATGCAGTGGGAACTCCAGCTAGGGCAAGAGACCCACAGAGGACCTCACCTCTCTTCTCACTTGCATTGAAGCTCTAAGATCTGAAGGGGCCAATGTTCCAAGTGCTGCATGCTAGTCTTGGTTGGTTGGAGGAGTGGGACATTTGGGGAGTGGGATACAGCCAAGACAACAGGCAAAATAAACTCCAAAGAGGCAGTAGGAAGGCCTAAGGAGATGCTTGCTGGTTTTCTGCAACAGTTTTGGCCCTTGTCAGCATTTCCAGAGTTTACAGTGATCAGTGGAGAGCTTCATGCAAAGAAAAGGCAGCTGGTCAGATTGACTTACTTGGGTCGCTGTGATCTCTGTTATAATTGTTCCCGATGTGATTATGTTGAGGGTTGAGCAACTGAGAGCTGCAGAAGAGACGCATAGCTTTATTTCTGTGATGTGGGAAATGTTCTGCGTTCGTTTCAAAAACATTCATTTCTCTTGCTGTCTAAAAAAGTGAAACAGAATTCCAGAAGTCTGCAGGAATTTTTGTGAAGTCTAACTTGAAATGCTCACCTTCCCTTTTATCGCCCTTATCAGCACACAGAGCTTGGTATGTGAGGTTTTTCGCTGACGTTTCAAACCTCTCCGAGTGTGCCTGTATCCCTTTTAAAGCAGCCTCCCCTCCCAGATCAGAAGTGACCATTTTTTTTTGTTAGACTTCATGTTCCTTTAATGTTTTCCTCTTAATAGATGTTGAAAGTGTTCTTCAGAGGCGCAGCACAAAACATTCAAATAGTGATATGAGCCAGCTGAAGAGAGTTGTCAGGGAGAGGGAACATTAGGAGAAGGATTGAATACAGATGGATTCCTCAAAAGTAATGTAACCTGTTATGATTGCTTTGAAATCCTATACGCTTTCCATCTACTTATGCTTACCGAAAGTTTACGTTTGCATTGATGTATTAGAGGCAGAGCTAAAATGGAAGTAATCCCTGTTGTATACAGGCTTAAGTATGTAATTTTAGCTAAAATACAACAGTTGTGACCAAACTCTTCCCTGCATCTGTGGAAGCCCACAGCCGTGGAGTGCTGCAGGGAGAGCCTGTCCATCCCCACTTTTCCAGAGGAGCCAGGGACCACCCAGCACCCGTCTGCTTGCTCTTGGTTCCTTTGACCATCTCAGATCCAGAGCCAACGAACTCTTCAAGTGCTCTGTGCTGCTCTGTCTTTGTATCAGCAGACGCAAAGGAGAAACTGATTTTTCTGTGCATTTTATTCTATATATCGTAGTGCTTTCTTAATATATTGCTAGAATAATCCATGCTTCATCCAGAGAGTCCTGGCAGAAGGTTCTGCTAGAAGTTGGTGCCGTGTTTTGAGTTATCCAAAAAGCATCCTTCCCTTTGCCCACAGGGAAGGCCTGAGCTATCTGACATTCCTGCCTCAATTTAAGAGATTGTATAAGACTCCGCCACGTGACTGGTGAATGGGATGTGACGGGAGGGCTGCACTGCACAGCCCTCCTTTAATGTTCACAGCTGACCCCTCTGCACGGGGAGCACTGGTGAAGGGGACATGGTGAGGTTTTCCCTTACATTACCTTACTTTTTAGGGTGAACTTGTTCAAATTACTTCCAGCCTTAAATATTTGTCCTAGAAAGCTGTTCTGAAATCTGATGGAATACAAAATTAAGGTTGCTCCAGTGCATATTTACGGTGACAGACAGAAAGTTTGGATGCTAGAAGGTGTCCGTGGTGACTCGCCATCCCAAGGTACCCATAAGCATTTGTACCCGACCGGCTCTGTACTGCACCTGACGAAACCTCACGAGGCTCCCTTTGCCTCAAATAGTCATGAAAATCCTCAGCTGGGTGCTCTTTGCACCACACTGCAACCACGCTGAGCTGCGTCCTCCGAGGAGAAACAGCTTGGGAGTTTTTGTTGGCTTACGACAAGCAAAATATTAGTTTTCCCTTTGTGACAATAGGTGATTTGTTTCTTACTAACCCCAGAGTGGGTCTAAAACAATATGATTTTTCTTAGTGACCAGTGAACATCCGTGGCCCCGTGCGTTACAAGGAGAATTGTCTGGTTCTGTGCCTGGGAGCAGACGGGCACAGTGAGTAGGAGCTGCATGGGTGATATGTTCAACTGAGGTTTTCACATTCTTGGGTAATGCGTCCATCATTGTACACCGAGTACCACGTTATACAGAAGTCTTTCTGAAAACCTCCACCTTAAGCAGATTGTTCCTGTAGCAGCTGTTTGTGTTTCATACAAATATGCGGAAACTGCCGACTTTTGCCTTTGCTGGTGTCTTCCTCACCTCCGGTCCCTCCATCTGTGCGTTTCTCATGGGTTTCCTTGTCTTATCTAAACGTAAACTCGTCAGGGCAGGGGCTGTTCTCTGTTGTCTGTAGGACTTTGACCAGTGCAGCACAGCTCTCAGCACAGCCAGAAAAGCTTTTCACAGCAGAACGGGGAAGCACAAATTGTGTGAGGTGTCCTCTTTGGAGGTGTTTGCTCAAGGTTCATTACCAACCACATCAACTAGATGCCAGTTACTCAGTTACTAAATAAAAGATCATGCTGATGAGCTTCATGGTTGGCATTAAAACAGGACTCTAATTTTCAGAGCTGGTAACAGAGCTTGGAAAACCCAGGAATTCACCAGCTTTAAGATATCTTAGAAATGCTGCTCTTCACGCAGAGGGGTGGGGAGGGAGAGCGGGGGATTAAACGATGCTGTGCTGGTGTGAACGTTTCAGCTCGTTCTTCCTTCGGGCAAGTTGCAAAATGACTTACAGTGACAACAAGATGCCCGCATGGCCCGACTGTCCTGCGGTGCAGCAGAGCCGGAGGCACCTCGGCAGCAGGAGCTGTTCTACGCCAGTGACAGAGTCAGCGTGAAGGAGGTCTCGTCTGCTGCTCTCACAGCCTGCTTCACCGTCACTGCAGGTCTCCTCCTGAGCAAGGGACTCGCTTCCCTGGTCAGCTCGTGCAGGCAGTCTCCCTCCTACCATTTATTTAAGAGGAGGTTGGCCTGCTCGCACGTGTACTTGAGTAATCTGTCTGCAGGACAAGGAATGTGGTTGTGTGCAAGCTCCCTAGATCCATGGCCAGACTGTCCATTGGAAAAGCCGGTGGGATTAGATGGTCCTTCCTGGTGGAATTTGCAAGTGTTTGATGTACCGAGTGTGACATTTGAGGTTGGCTTTAGGTACGGTGTTGTAAGCAGCAGCCGTTTCCTGCTTTACCTCCCTCCCTTGGCAAACGTGTTGGAGGAGAGCAGAGGGATGTGAAAGCGAGCGTTGAACGGGTGAGCCGTGCTAGACAGCCCTCACAGCTGGCAGAGTAGGAGCCTATTTTGACTAAGAAAAATGCTGTCTTATATCTGGGTATTGCTTAGTACATGGACACAAGAAATCCTGATGTGACTGGACTTCTTCCATACAGTCTTGTTCCCTCTCTCTTCAACTCTAATAGTATCGTCTTCGTTACTCCATGTTTCCTTTTGCATCCAGTTGCTCACGGTTCTGTCAGTGCAACTTAATACGAACCCAGCTTAGTCTGTGATCTGTGACCAATGCTGGGGCTTCAGGCAAAGTCCTTCTGCCCGGTGATGCAGAGTATGGTCAAGGTTGTGTCCTTCTTATTTGACTCTCTTGTTTTTCTTGCAGGCATGGGTCATGGAGAGAGCCTGTTAACCCTTACTATGTCAACACGGGCTATGCTTTGGCACCAGCGACCAGTGCCAATGACAGTGAGCAGCAGAGCATGTCCAGTGATGCCGATACGATGTCGCTGACGGACAGCAGCGTGTAAGTAACTCCAGTCCGGTGGGATGATAACTGGGACAGTAACGCGTTTGTTTCCGTAGCGTCGTGGTGGTCTTGGGGAGACATTGCCATGGCTGGTGTTGGGGGGAATGTCTGACTAGATCAAGGTCCTGATCATTCTTGCTTTTCTTTTCTGGCCTTGGGAACATTTGCAACATCAGATGGTTTGAGTGAACTAAAATAAATGATGCTCGGTCAGAGTTCCTGCAGCGTTTCTTGCCTGGTGCAAGAAATACTGGAAATGTTGGATGGCTTTGTAGTAAGTGATTTGAGATACAGTATCTTCTCAATGTCAGACGGAGCTTTCTGCTTACCTGGGTACTTCTCCTCTTGAGGTTTTTTGGTCCCAGACTGGGCTCAGTCTCTGATTGCTCTGCAGTAGGATTGGCCGCTGACCAGTTTTAGTTTATCTGTGGAGACCTCTGCAGTTTAACACAGCTTGTACCGATAAGCCCTCCCCAAATCTTTTCTCCTTTTTTTCTAGTTCCTACCTTCATGCCAGCACCCTGTGTCTCACCCATGAGATACCTTCCTTAAAGACGGTCTGCAAAGGGAGAAAAAAGAGGTTATGATATTTTGTTGTGACTGCATCTCTGTGATAAAAAAAAAAAAAAAGGATTTGGGCAAAAATAGTCCATGTTTGGTCTGTTTTTTATTAGTGCAAATGCAAAGTGTCTTTCTGTAGAGCAGCAACCCTTTGATTCTTCAAGCGAAAGATGACAGGTTTACAGAATTAGGAGAGGGTTTTATTAACGGCAGTGCTGTAAACACAAAGTCCTCCGAGACGCTCGTTTAGTGTCACTGCGAGTGTCAGGAGCTGTCAGACCTTGTTGGAGAAACTTTCCAGCCTGTGTGACGAATGTTAGTGGGTGCTGCAGCAGTTGCCCACCTGCCCTCAGTTAATACGGCGGGCTGGTGAACGTGCGACGCGCACGGTGGCTCTGTGCGAGCCGCTCGCGTGCTTGGCTCTGGCTCCACGAAGGCTTGGAGCCATTTAGGAGCAGTTATTGAGTCTGCTCTGCTGACTGCCACCAGCTCCTTGCACCTTATCCATGTCATGTTGGCAAATGGAGGTGGCAGACCTTGGCCCAAGGGGCATGGGGAGGCAGAGGGTGCCCCTGGGGCAGAAAGCTGGAGAGGACCGCCGATTAAAGGCTCCGTTTGATACAAATTCAGCTGCTTTGCCGCATCCTTCTGCGGTTCTTCATATTCATCAATTTAGATGGAGGAGCAGTCTGAAGCTAGCGGGGGTCATGTAACTTCTTGTTATCGGGAGAGACAGATGTAAGAACTCTTCAAAATTAATTAACTTTTAGCACTTCCTTTTGCACTGGTCCAGTGGGCCCGTGGGGTCGCGCTGATGGTTATACCTGCAATAAGTTGTGATCATTTATGCCAGACTTCTTCACCCTCCTAATTTTTGTTTCAGTAGCCACAATTTATTTCTTTCACAGGCAGAATAATTTCTGTTTGACCATCCTATGCATTCTTTATTCTTCGCTCCTTTTTTCCTTTAGGCACTTTATCCCTTCTGTGCCCACCATAGGCTGCTTCTAGGACTTTAATTACCACCACTACGTGCGCTGCCTTCTGCTAATAACTAGCCTGATCTCAGTGGTTCATTTTAAGTAAGTCTCAAAAATCATAAGGGTAAACCTGTGATCTTTCTTTCTGTGCATCTCAAACTGGGTGCGTGCAGATTGATCCTCAAATTGGGATTCTGGACGTACAGCCTTGACCTTTGGCTTATAAAGACTCTGTCTGTTTTCAACACTTGCTCTTCATTACGTCCTTTAAAACTCCAGTACCAGTTTTTGTTCCATTTTTACATGGCGTTCCTGAGCCTATCTGCCTCCTGAGTTTCAAAGGAATTTTTTCAGAATTGCTCAAGGCAGCAAAAATGAAGAACAACCAGACGCAAGTTAAAGAAGGGACTCCTGCTGCTTGACAAGACTTGCATGTCTCGGTGCTTTGAATTTAGGCCTCCTTTAAGGAAAATGGCAATACGAGCCTCGTTTGCTGATGAGCGAGGCTCTTCCCTCTGCGTGCTGTTTACATCCAGCAGTCAAGCTCAGTAGTGAAGAAACCTGCCTCCTGCTCCAAGGCAGCACATGAACAGGGTGTGATCCCAAGGCGGAAACCTCCATGACCCTCCATCAGAGGAGAATGTGTCCGGACAATCGGGATGCAAACATCAGCTAATTGAGGAGTGCTAATAAACCGGGAAAGCAGGCAGGCGCACAGAGAGCAGCACTTTTCCAGCATTGACCAACTCAAGCCAGTGGAGAAGGCAGACACGCCGAGCGGTTGCTTGTACTCTGATGTATTGCAGTTGTCTCCAGCTCCTGTCCAAGCTTGTGTTGATCATGGCAAAGCAGGGTTCGGATCTGGCTGCATGGACAGCCCAGCTATGCAAAGCCTCTGGCAAAGGTCTGGGTGATGCCCTGGCCGCCTGGCCGATGCCCTGGCTGCCTGGGTGCCTGAGCTGGGGCGAAGGGAGGCAGGCAGGCACAGGCTTTTTGGGAGCGCCCAGCTCACCAGAGTGTTTTTCAAACTCATTTCTGCAGTACCAGCTACAAGCACACTTGCCTAAAAGACAAACTTTCAACAGGATGTCTTTCCAAGCACTGGTAAATATTATTGTAACAGGTTAAATTTATATAATGAATATGTTATCAGTGCCTGGTGTTTGAGGAGTTTGCCTTTTGAGTGGCTTAAAAAACATTGCTCTTAAATGCCTGTGCTCCGCTGATTATTTTTCAGTCTTCCTGTGTCATATGAATTCCTCTGCCCTTGTAGGCAAAACAGCTCCGGTCCTCTCTGTGAAACCTGTTTTTATAATCGTCCCGGCAGCTGTGTTGTTTTAGCTGGTTTGTGCGGGGGCAAGGTCTGGAAAGGACGTGGTGAAAAGCTCTGGCGAGCGCTAGCCGGGCAAGCGAGCCATTGGCTGCAGGTGGGGCTGAGTCGCTCACTGTGGGCGTTCGGTGGTGGATCAGTGGTGGGTTGGGGCTTCAGGGCTCTGTCTCCTACCCTGGGCTGCTCGGAGCCTGCCCCAGGCTTATGGTGGCATTTATGGTGATGATCTTTAAGGTCCCTTCCAACCCAAACTGTTCTACGATTCTGTGGTGCACCCTGAACTGCTCTTGCTGTCTCGGGCAACCCCCACATACAAAATGCATCTTCCCCAGGCAGAAGAGACAGCCTCTGGGTCGGGGCGACTGTCACAACAGGGACACTCAAGGGAATTTAAGGCCAGTCGAGGTAGGAGGGCAACAGGCAGAAGCTGAAACGCATTAAATTGCAATACGATGTTCCCATTCAGACGCAGAAATGTCTTTAGGTCAGTATCTTTCTTCTCTTTATTTCTGCAAGAGCTTAGATGGGTAAACAAGAGGAAAGGTCTCCTCTTTAGCCCAGTGTTGTGGTCCAACTAAACTACAATTCTCCTTCCTCTGGGTCTTACTGTGTGTCTTGGCTTATCTGAGGTGGGAGATGAGCTTTGCCTTTGGCAAGCCCTCGATGCCGGTGGGCTTGACCGGAGGGCTGCTCGTTCTTCCCCAGTCCCGGTCGAACCTGCCCCAGGGTAAGGATGGCCATGCTCCAGAGCAAAGGGGTTTAGGACAGTGGTTGCTCCTTAAAAAAAAAAACCTTGCAGATTAAATATTTTTCCTCGGATGACTGGCCTTTGGCCAAAATGCCTGGCGATTTTCTCGTCGCGCTTCTTTATGTGAGAAAGGTCTCTCGGCGACGGTGGTGCTTTGATAAGAGTAATTGGTAGAAAATATCAGCTTCGCTGTGGATTTGTTTCCTGTCATTCCTGCAGCCGGTGATCCAGAATGACCTTGAGTTCTGCTATATTTAAACGAGTTTAACAGCTTTTTAATTTAAAAGATCCTCAATGATAATTTTCAAGTCATTGGGCTTAATGGTTGGGTTTGGAGGCTGTCTTTGGAGGAGCAAAGCCAGCCCTTGTTAGAAGAATCCAACTGCAGAGCCCCAGCGAAACCTCCCTGCTCACCGAAGGATCTTGCAGGTCGGTTCAGCTCGGTTCGGAAGCCCCTGCGTTTCCCTGCTAGCAGACCAGTCACGTTATCTATTATTAAATAAACACTGGAAATACTCTTGTTCCCCCCGTTGCCTTTTAGTGCACAGCTTTCTGGTCAATCACGTGATGAAACAAGGAAAAATAGTTTGGGAAAGCTTTATTTTAAAAGTAGATGTGCTCTAAAAAAGTTTTGATTTTTTTTTTATATATATATATCTGTATTATTTCTCTATCTATTGAAAATATCTCAAAGCAAGCTACCTGACAAAAGGAAAACAAAAGTACCGTATTGGTTTTCCTTGCTTTCCCCCCGTCTATTGAGTAAGGTTTTGTTGGGATAAAATTAAAGTGCTTATCTTTGAATTTGCTTCCTCTGGTTGAGTTGGCACAGTACATTGAACGAAGGAATGTTCCAAGTTCAGAGGTGGCATTGGGGAATCTAGTTAAAATGACATCAAAGGCAGCACAGCGGGGCTGAACATGTGTTTGAAGCCGGATAGATTAGAGGCCATTATCAGCCTTTCGCTACTGTGCTGGGAACAAAAGTCGCTCTTTCCGCTGGGACTGCTGCTGGGGAGAATTAAAAAAAAAAAAATAAAAAGAAAGAAAGAAAAATTGCACCTTCTAATATAATGCCGCTATTCCCGCGAATGGCCGGGCGGCTTTAGCGTGCGAGTTGTGTGCTGGCACCCGGGTTTTGTGCGGCCGTTATGCTGAAATGTTGTCTATTGATGCTGACCAGCGATGGCTAAAGTAATCTCCTAGACTTTTTTATTATTATTTTTTGTTTTCCTGTAAAAATTGCCGGTTGTTCTGTTGCCATCCAGTCTGGGAAAAAAAGCTGCGTTGTGATGCGATGAAACTCTTTAACCGGTGTGACTCTTCAGTTCTTTTTTTGAACGGAGGTTTGTCATGAAAGAACACGAAGCCGCCTAATGAAAGCTCTCGTAGCAGCGCTTTGGGGAAATTGCTCTGCTCGTGTTCGGTGCCGGTGCCAGGCGCAGCAGAGGTGATGCTCCCAGCCGCGCTCTTCCTCCTCCCACATTACCTGCAGCCACGAGCCAGAGCCGTAATTAGCCTGGCTAATTTTCTGTTCTCTCATTTGCCTTCCTACTAAAAAGCACTTGTCGTTAATCACGGGGGTTTTCTTTTGTTTTAAGGGTGTTTCATTTTGAACGCCTGGGTTACTGTGGGAAATCGCGTCCGTCTGATGTCATTTGGTGGCGATTCCGCCTTTTCCAGTGGATGCAATGGAATTGGGAAGGATTGCTGACAGTGACCATCCTTGCACGGGCTGGGGCTTGGAACTCGGGAGGTTTTCAGGCAAAACACCGCAGTAAATAGTGTTTTCCTTGCCAAATGGCACCTCGGCTTTAGAAATCCGCTGGTTAAACTGTTTGGCTTGTGCTCTGGAGCAGCAGCTGTGCTGGGCAGTTGGGGAGGAGGTCGGTGCTGGATGCGTTTGGCTCGTGCAAACATCTTGTCCGTGTGAGATGGGTTGGGAGCAGCTCCTTCGCACTGCTCGGAGCGGCGCGGGTGCATGGAAGTTATTTGGTACTTGTGACAAACCAAACCCCTCCGCCCATTTCTGGCCGTTTCTGTGGCGTCGCACGGCCTTCCCAAGCAGTTACTTTTTACTGAATCAGGGAAATGTGTAAAATAAAAAAGGAAAACTCCGAATTGCCAAGCTGCAGGCTGGCGTTTGGTTTTGCATTCATTGATTTTTGTCAACGAGGAGATGAGCCTGTGTCCTTATGTCATAACCAACCTCCACTTCACTCGTGTTCTCCTTGTCCCTGGGTATGAGCAGTGGTGAGAACAAGAACGTGGTGCCTTTCCTCGCCTGGAGCCCTACTCAGCCAGCGGTGCCTGGCCGTTGGGGGTGTGTAGCGAAGGTGACTCTGACCTCTCGCCGCTGGGACCCACATGCACCCAGGCCCCGTCTTTGCCGAAGGCCTCCGTGCGGCTTGGCAGAGCGGCTTCGCGCCGTGCCCCAGCTCGGGGCAGAGCCACAAACCCTGCTCCTGCTCTGTCAGGACCGAGGACTGCTGCCACCGCTGTCTCCTTCCTCTGCAGAGCCCTGGGTCACCAGCTTTTTCGGCAAGGGCATAAACCCAAGCGGAGCTGGTTCGCTTAGATGCCCATGGCATCCCTCCCTGACCTGCTCCAGCCTCTTCTGGGGCGAGAGCTGGTTCTTCCGCACGGTAACTCCAGTATCAAGCCCATAATGTCAGACTAAGCTAGAGAGCATCTTAAGAGCAGCGGAGTCACCTTGATAAGCCATTTGAGAAGTTGTCACACTCTCTTAAAAATATATACCTGGTTCTGTGCCCGAGCTCCCCTTGGTGTAGATGCCCACTGAGCTCCCACTCCTCCTCCTCCTCCTCCCCCTCCCAGCCTGCCCTGTGGTTTGCTGTGTACATTACAGGCTCTTTTACAGAAAGCAACCAACTATAAAAGGTACCAGGATGCGGTCCAAGTCCTTCTCCCTGCCCTCCGCGTAGGGCAGCGGCCGCGGGAGCCCAGCCTCACTCCACTCCCGGCACATGCCGCGTAAGTCCCCCAGTACCAGAGTGTCGGTGGTGCGGGGACCTGGGCGAGCGTCGTTCCCTGCACGGATTCCTCTTGCTCTACCGCGCTCGCCTTGGGCGTGCAAAGGCTTTCTCAAACGTAAAGAGGTTTCCTACCTGCCACTCTGCTGCGGCGAGGCTTAAAGGAACGTGATGTATGAGAGAAAGGCGCTAAAGCAGGGCGTGGTGTTGTTTTATTCCGGCAGAGATGGGATCCCGCCGTACCGACTCCGAAAGCAGCATCGCAGAGAGATGCAAGAAAGTGCCAAAGCAAATGGACGTGTGCCACTACCTCACATTCCTGTAAGTAGCACTATCTCCTTCCCCAGAGGTAAATATGCAAAATATGTGAGATCTCTAGCGTACAGCTGCTCTGCCTGCTCCAGTTTAACCCCCTCCTTAGCACCATATTCATCTGGAGGTGTTTTCAGATGGAAGTACACCATGCTAAGAGAGGGCTTGGTAGCCTTCTGCCAAACTCATCATCCAGGGCTGCCCAAAACACATAGTTTTTCCTAACTGTTCAGTCAGTAGCCAGTTGTTTCTCCCAGATGAGAATGGAAGTGCTGGCCGGCATCTACCTGTAAACAGGTTATGTGCCCTTGGGTGAGCTGGAGGTGTTTGTGGAAGGTGTTGGAGGCCATCAGACATGGAGGCTGATGTAGCTCTCAGCCAAGGTCAGCTGGGGAGAAATGCAACTGTCCCGGGCGGTATTTCTGCACTAGGCAGCCAAAGGGAGCTGGAACCTGTTCTCAAGGATTCGACAAAGCCCGCCTGGGGGTACGAGGCAGGAGAGCAAAGAAGGTGCAGGCATAAGTATTTCGTTTGTCTGGTACTGTCTCCTCGGTTGCTCCAGGTAAGCAAACAGCTTTGGAAGATGAACATACCTGCTAGGGCTTTGCAGCACCATCTGCAGCTCTGCTTATTGTTATTTTCTTTCCATGAGAAGTTACAGGTGACATTTAATATCTAGCAGGGAATAAAGGTGCTTCTTTCCCCTTTGGACAGCTGGACTCCAGCACAAATCAAATAAGGAAGAAAAAAAACCTCCATCTGCTTTTTCTAGAAGTGCCTTCAAACTTGACGCAGCTGTTCTCATCCTGCCTGCTCAAAGCAGCACAATACCAGCAGAAATACACCCTGGTTTTTAGAAAAAAAAAAACCCACACCAAAACCACCACTCTTTGTTTTGCCTTTTAAATTAGATTATTTTCCTTAGATTTAAGAGGGTCCCCTGTGCTTTGATCACTGGGTTGACAATAAAAGCCCTGGCCGCTCGCTCGCCGCCCTTGCTCAGCCACCTCTCTTTTTGCACAGTTGCTTTCCCAGTGTGGTGGCTGTTGAAAAGGCTGCCTGGGCGCCTTTTCATTTCGCTCGATGCCGTTTTTCCTGTAAGCGTGGCTTTGTTAGTGTTGAAGTTTGAAAGCTTGGCCTTTCTTTTTTGTTGTTGTTATTGTTGTTGTTGTTGCTGTTCCCCAACAGTGGGAACTACCGAGTGAATATTCGCTGACTTCAAAGCTTGTCAGTGGCTTTACCTTTCGGATAAAAATAACAGTGGCTTTCTGTTGATGGTGTGCACTGGCAATGCCTCGATGAACTGCAGGTTATAAACTCAGAGTAGGCAGCATTAAATATGTATAGCGAGCTCCGCTTTAACGAACTTCCATCTGCCAAACATTTCTTTTGTTGAACTGAATAAGTGTCATTCCAGCAGCAGTTCCTTGCAGGCTAATTAGTTTTACTTAGCATTAAATTTTATCGACCTTTTTGGAAACCAGTTAAAAAAGAGGAGGAAAAAAAAACAGGTTTAAATTGGCCACCTGCTGCTTATAAATTTTTATATTCTCCTACTTATCTACCCAGTCTTTTAGAATTACATATTCCTCCTAAACTACACACATATGCTTCACAAGGATTTTTCTGTGAAACATCCGCTGTTCCCATTAGATTCTGCGCTTTAATTTTAAGTCCCAGGGAAAAAGGCATCTTGACGCATATTTATATGGGAGCGGAGGACTGAGAAGTTGAGTTAGTTCTAGTCTTTCTCCAGGGAATAAAAGTTTAGTTCAGACACTCTGGCACCTCCTGCCAGCCAATTACTGACACAGAATTGGCATTGACTTCAGAGAGGCACTGCTCTGCCCTCGCTTATCAATCAGCCAAGAAAGGGGAAGGTAATTAGACAATATGTTTTGACAACACCAGTGTGAAATGTTATCGAGTTAGTCTTTTAATATCACCTCGAACTGCACACTCGTGGAATTAAAATTCCCCAATTAGCAAGGAGCCATGCAAATGATTCTTCAAGTGTTGCTTTCCGAACCCGTTGGTTGGCTATGTCGCAGCGCGTAGCTAAAGCTGCGTCCATCAGCGCCTGGAGCGGGTGGGCAGCACGCTTTTAGACCTGTAGCAGTGACTAAATTGCAACCTTTGCGTGAAGGTCTTGGTGGAATCATGTCTAACCAGTGTAGCCGGAGTCCATACTGACAGTGCTTGCAGAATGCATGGCATGTTTTCCTAGTGATAGTAGAGGACCTCCTACTTCCAAAAAGTCATTTCAGAAGTCCTTTAGAGACCTGACTGTTCCCTTACAAATGAGTTATGGGACTACTATGCAAAATTCTGAAAGCACTTTTATTGCTTTTAATAGCAGCGCTTTCAGTTAGGTCCAGAAGCTATGAACTGTAGTGATTACATGTTCGTAGCAGACAGCCCGCTAGTTTCAACAGCTGTGCTGCCTCCAGACAACAAAGGCGTGTGCTGGTTGTGTAGGATGCTCTGCTACGCGGCAGGAGACCTTGGAGCATGGCTGGCTGTGTGCTCCGTGTTCCACACGTACAAACTCACCAGCGCTCCAGGAACGCAGTGGGTGAAGGTCTCTAGCCAGCCACGAGGGCTTTGGTTTGTGCCTCTCGCAGGGGCCCGTTACACGGCGGGTGAGTGTTGCTTTTCATGTGGTTTTCAATCTCTCTTGGATTCAAGCAGAGCTGTGGAGCACCAAGGAAGAAGGAAGGAACAGCAAGTTCCCAAAGGAAGAGTTGAAAGCCCAGAGAGTGCAGGGCTGTACCTGTGCTACTGCACTGTGCTTACCGTGGCTCTGGCGTTCATCTCTTCCCAGGGGAGGATGGGAGATGCACCTTTTTTCCCAGCAAATTCAGAAAAATCCAACCTCAGGCATTAAGACTTGGGATTCCTTTTTGTGTTTGTTTAACTGCATAAAGAAGCCATTTTGTGATGTTCTTGCTGTAGCTTGATCACTGGGTAGAAGATCTCCTGTAGAAGAGGGAGATTTACCGACATGGAATTCTTTGGCCCAGTCAGATCTGTCAGAAACAGCTCAGCCCAGCCTGTGGATCCCTAGGGCTGATTAGAGACCTCTACCCAACGGTAACACTGGAAAACTTGCTATTTCATCCCAGAGCAATTGAGGTTTATTCTTCCCAAGGGGAACCTGCAAGCTGCAGTGAGATTCCTCCCCTTCTGCCTTTTCACATATAGATCATAGTAAAACCACACATTTAGGATGACGGTGTGTTCTGATGTGATCTTGTGATGTGATCTTGGTCCTCAAACCTCCATTTCTCACAGAAGGTGAAATCCATCAAAACCCAAGACCTGCATCTGCCTCATGCAGCAAAATCCATGCAACTCCCACTCCATCGGCCCGAAGAAAAGAAGGAGAAAACATGATAGCAGGTGCCAGGTGGAACTGCTGGAAAGCTCATGTATCTCACATGTTCTTAGCAGGCTGCTTCTTCCCGAAGGTACTAGAGCTTCAGACACGTCGCTTGTGAAGGACAGAGGACAGTGTTATGGTGGTAGGTACCCCAAGAAATACTTCCCCACAGCTGTCACTAGGAAAGATTGATCCATCCTGACCAGTTCAAGCCATTTCTTTCTTGCCAACCCATCTGGCATTCAGCCTTCCCCTCCGTTGTTCTCTGCAACCTCCCCAGCTCAGTGCGGTTTGTTTCTGGACAGACCTGTCTGAACTGGTGGTATTAAATAAAACATTAAATAAACTAGCTGTAGATAAAACAATTCTTTGAAATGAAGTGCTTCCTTTCTGAGCTGTTGGCCCAGAATGGTCAGAGATCTCATTCTGGTCCTGGAGGGCCAGATCCTCCAAAACCAGCCAGCTCTTGGAAAGCGCTGCACCCTTTAGTTGGAACAAAAGCATTAGGAGCTGTTCTGATTTCAGAACAATAAACAGCTTATTTGCAACGCCCTCAGTAGGGCTCTGTATGCCCGTGGGAAGCCGGGGGCAGGTTCAGAATCCTGAAGCCCTGAAGGATCCTCCTCTGGGCAGAGGCTCAGCCTGGCTGGTTTTTCATGGAGCGTGTCTCCCTTCCAAAGCCAGGCCCATCATTTGATGAAAGTTTCAAACCCTTTATCATCTTAAGCCTTTTGAACCAGGTTGGTGCAGTCCATGTTTGCTGTCCAGGGAGACAGAGCGAGCCCTCAGCAGTTGGCTGTGTTGTTTCAGCACAGGAGATTTGCACTCATTATTCTGCAATACTGTTAGTTTTGGGGAAGTCTGTGTATCTCATCCTTTAAGCTAGGAATAAAGTCAGACCCGTGGCGATATTCCGACCATCCTGCGTGCCAGCTTTCTGTGAGTCACCAGTACGGATGCCCGCCAGGACAACATAGGGCACGTGCAACAGGTATCCGTGGGGTGAATGAAGTGAGGTTTATTTCAGTTGCATTGAACTTGCATGGTCAGGGAGACCCTTGCAGAGATGACTCCATGGAGGGGAGCGCATCTCACACCCTCGAACAGGACCTATGCAAGCTGTGGTGCTGAGTGGAAAGCCCGAAGGACGGGGCAGTGGGTTTTGCAGATGCAGCGGTTTATCAAAGAGAGAAGAAAATGAGTTCATCCTAAAGATTCTTGGGTTCAGTTTTCATTTCTGCAGTTGAGCTTCAGTCACCTCCAAACTTTGAGAGACTGTGGATAAACATGCTGAAGTATTAGTTGTAGATGAAATCATCATGACCGAAATCATCTTATCTTGAGTTCCTTGGATGCAGCAATGGCCCTGAACATCATGCGATCCTCCTTAGAGACGGAGCTGTGGTCCTTGGGTGTTGCGGGGCCTGGAGGGAACCACCTTACTGCAACAGGACTCGAAGATGCAGGATGGCAAACTTCAACCTTTGCACCTGCTGCTGGGGGCTCGGGAGAGACTTCGGCTTGGGATGCTGTGTTGCATCAAAAGCTATAAAAATAAAGGGAAGTTCTTCCCCGGTTCCGCTTTTCTCTGGAAGCTGCTGCGGTAGCTGCAATGGGAATTACGGTACCCGAGACTGTAAGTGCTGAGCGCCAAGCTGCCTCTCGTGAGGCTCGTTAAGTTTCTAACGGAGCAGGGCTCGGTGCTGCTGTCGTATAAACAACCGCAGGGAGAGTTGGCGTGTCTGAGGTGGCAGGAGGGAGTGAACGCATCGCCCGACGGGTTGCGACTTGTCAGCCAAGGGAGAGATTTCCCTCCTGGGGAATTGCTGGTGCTGCTCACGAGATGGATGGTGCTGGTCGTGGCTTTGGGGTTTCCGAGACAAGCAAACTCCCTTAGCTAGGTGTGCTCCCTGGGCAAATGGGGAAACATTGCTTAGTTCCTAGAAGCTCCCCAGGGAGTAGCAGGGACCAGCTCTGCCACATCTTCCCCCAGGACAGAGCACGATGGGGGCCCATTTCTGGACTGCCTAAGATCCAGGTGCTGGGACAGAGCATGCCATTTCGGCCCTTGGTGCCAATATTTCAAGACTAAGTGTCATTTTTGTTGATGAAAATCTTTTTCTGCAGTGTTTCTTTTTAATACGAGCCATTGATTTGCAGAGCTGGTGGCAGCAGACACTTTGTCATCCCGGGGTGGGAACCACCTGGTAGCTCACCTGTGTTATGCCCTCTCCAGCGGCTGCGTCCCCGGATGAAGAGGATGATTGTTTGGGGCTGTTCCCAGCTTGGATGGTTCAGTCGTGCCTGGGACAGCATGAGGTGGAGCTGTCAGTCCCTCTGCTTGTCATGGAAAGCAAGTGCTAGAGCAGACAGTACTCTTGCCTGCAAAGCTCCATCATGTCCACAGACGTCCCCGGGGACGCTGCAGCCCAGCACCGTCCAGTGTGGAAGAGAAGGCACCGGCAGTGAGCCCTGGATGCAAGATTTGCTGGTGGCAGGGTTGGCTGGGTCTTGTTCTCGGCAAAGAAAACAAGTGGCGCTTTAACCAAGACCTCTGCAACTCAACTTGGGTGTCATAAAAGATGTCTTCAGCTTCTCGGTGCCATCAGTAGGATACTTACTGCCTCTGTTTTTCTTTCCCTGCCTTCTGCTTAGTAGCTGGCAGAGAGAGAAAACCAACATGATTTGCATGCTTTTGTCAGTTTTTTGAGGTAAAGCATTATTTCAGTCTTCCACATTGATCCTTTGGCTGGTCCGGGGTAAATTTGGGTGATCTCTAATCCTCCTTTAAAGATGTCAAGCTCGATGTCTGCTGCTGCTGCTGCATTTGTTCTTTTGCTATGAATAATCCTGGGTCTTCACATTTAATTTTATCTCTAGTCCTATAGACTGTATATTTTTCTCGTGTCAGTATTGAAATATTTGAATGCAGGTTTTTATACTGTCGAATTTTTCATATATTTTTCCTCCAAATTAAATTTTTCTCTCTGCTGTGTCATTTTTTTTCCTATTTAAAAAAAATAATGCAGAAGGGATAAAAATGAGGGGAAAAATACAGTGGCTGATAGCTTCATACTTCACTGCACAAACTTCTTATCCCAGAGCTCAGGAATTTAGGGACAAGGTAACTTAGCATCAGGAACCAAGAATGCCCTTGAACTTCCATAAATATTCATTTGTTCACCCAGAGCAAGCAGAGAAGTGCTCTCTGCGCTTGTAAGGACGTTGTATTGATAAAGCAAGCAGGGGATCGTTGCACGGCTCTGAAAAGCCAAGATCCTGCAGGATCCTCTGGTAAGAGAGGATGCTTTGTGGGTGCCGTGGCCTTTTGTGGATGGGCTGGGTTGTAGCAGAAGATGGAGGGAAGTAAGATGTCCTGGAGGCAACAGGATTTCCATTCCTCTCTCTGCCTGTGGGCTAGATTTGCAGATTGACCAGCATATGCTGATCTACCCAGGGTAAGTGTGTCCTCTATCAAAGGGAGAACATCGCTACTATAAGCATGATTTTTGAGAGGTTTGTCTGTACGTCCTTCTCCCACCCTTTGAGACCTGGATATTCCCATGTGTACCATGGGATGAAACCAAGCACTTCCCAAAGCGGAGTTTGGTGCTGAAAGACCTCGTTCAGTTGTGGCTCCAGAAAACCTTTCCCTTACGTGGAGTGGTGCGCGGAGCTGGTGCCGGCCGGGGACCCTGTGGCGGTGCTCAGCTTCCAGCCCACCGGTCCCTAGGCTGCACCTCTGCCCCTGCCAGCCTGTCCTCCCTCAAGTCCCCAATGGAACGACTGGCGTTGCCGGTGATCGAAGCCTCCAAATTAAACATGGGATTTTTCGTGCATCTCCCACTAACCCCTGTTGTGTTTTTTCCTCCAGCGTACATACCGAATGCCAAAGGATATCCACGTCGAACCAGAGAAGTTTGCTGCAGAACTGATCAATCGTTTGGAGGAAGTACAAAAGGAACGTGAAGCAGAGGAGAAATTAGAGGAGCGCCTTAAACGCGTTCGAGCGGTCAGTATCCTCCTTGCCTCCTCTACCAGCCTGGCAGGCTGTCTGCACACTGTACAGCTCAGGGAGCTTTCAGCTGCTGTGGAAGCAGCTGGGGTGACCACTTTCCTGCTCCAGCCACCATGGTCATCACTTGCACAGGGGCTCCTGGGGGCTTCCGTTGCCCCAGGAGCTTCCCCAGTGCTGTTCCCCCATCCATGCAGGGCTCTGTGAGCTCCAGCACTCGCTCCCTGCTGTAAGACACCAGCCCTGACACAGCAGTGCCCGCTTCTGCCGCCAGTCAGGGCCTGCAGATGCTCTCCATCATCTTCTCCGGCACCCTTGCTCTCCTGACTTTGTGAGCAATCTCTTCCATGCGAGGATGGGGACTATGTAAAAAGGGGCTCGTCTTTCCCTGTGGGCTTTTGTGTGACCCCTGTTTCCCCCACAAATGGTAACCAGATGGCAGGTGACGTTATGCTGGGAGGCGTTTGTGTCTCCTATCAAGCGTTTCTACTACAACCAAAAGGCTTCTGCCCATCAGTGCCTAGCACATCCCTAGAAAATTTGAAACCTATCGGGTGTAGTGTCCAAAAACCCTCTTCTAGGCAGAGAACAGCACTGACTCTGTGTGAGAAACCCAGCCATGGCACTGCGTGCTGCGAGCCCTGGTACCACTGGGGCCCTTCAGAGCTCGGGGACTTGGTAGGTGAACCAAGGGAAGTGTGCAAAGCCGTGAGCTCCACAACAAGCTCCAAAAGGGAGAGAACAAGGTATTGGTCGTCTGGTCTCACTGTGTGAGACCCCTGTTCAGCCGTATTCACACCATAGCTTTTCTTCTGAGATGCTGCATGTCACGGCTGCCTGTACATCTTGTGCTGGGGACGCAGGAGGGTTTTCAGAGGACACCAGTGTTAGTGAACGTCACCAACATCAGCATAACTACAGCCCTGTGTGGAGAAATTGCGAGTCTCTGCCGTTAATAGCTGCCGTGGCCCTGAGGCGAAGGCTCTGTGCTTGGCAACTCGCAGCTCTCCCTCCGCACAGAGGTGCTGGTGCCTGTCTGGGCTAGCCTCGTGCTTTGGGAGAAGCCAAGCCTCTGTGGCCCCGGGACCAGCCCTTCAGCCCCGTTAGAGGCTTTTAAAATATTAATTAATGTGTTTAAATGCTCATCTTTAAACAGAAAAAGAGCTGTGGGTTGTAGTATTTGCTTTCGATGACGTCTGTGTTTCAAATGTGGAAAAGTGAGGAAGACAGAGGGATCTGTAAGCTTCCCTCCAGCTCCAGGCCTTGTCCAGCAAACTCCCTGCACATTTGCGTCCAGCATCCAGCCAGAAAAGGCCAGTTAGGTGCAATTTTGTGAGTAAATTCCTCTTCTGGAATTGGTCCATTTTCCTCTCTACTACCTATTGCTTTCTAGACAAAGCCAATGTAACCAGCAGCATTTCGTGCTAACACGGTCCTAGAGCACTCTTCCTCCTCCCGCTCCCGTGGATCTGTTGCAGCCTCACCTATGCCAGATTACATTAGCATAGAATCATAGAATGGTGTGGGTTGGAAGGGACCTCAAAGATCATCCAGTTCCAACCCCCCTGCCATGGGCAGGGACACCCTCCACTACACCAGGTTGCCCAAAGCCTCGTCCAACCTGGCCTTGAACACTTCCAGGGATGGGGCAGCCACAACTTCTCTGGGCAACCTGTTCCAGTGCCTCACCACCCTCAGAGGGAAGAATTTCTTCCCTAGATCTCATCGAAATCTCCCCTCTTTCAGTTTAATACATTGCCCCATGTCCTGTCACTACACTCCCTTGTCCAAAGTCCCTCTCCAGCTTTCTTGTAGCCCCTTTAGGTACTGGAAGGCTGCTGGAAGGTCTCCCCAGAGCCTTCTCTTCTCCAGGCTGAACAACCCCAACTCTCTCAGCCTGTCTCCATAGCAGAGGTGCTCCAGCCCTCGGATCATCCTCTGCCTATTATCCCAGCCCTCTACCTCCTTGAAGAAGCTGCCAGTAGCAATACAGTAAAATCAGCAAAAACTTATGTGCCAGAGAATAAATTTAAGTCTGTTTAAACACATTTTTGTGTGACTTAATCTATTTTTAAGCCCAAGACTTCCACTAATGCTATATATTAAACTTCTTTGCTGTCTCCAGAACGTATTTCATTGACTGGCTGGCACCTGGCATTAGCCATTCAGGAAAAACTCAGAGTAAGCAATTGTAGCCTTTTTAGGTCAGCACTTAAGGTGCAGGAGCTGCTGGTATCAGCAAGAGGAGAGCTTGAATCTTGATAGATCACAGGGGTTTTTTTAATATGACCTAACACCAGGACTACAGGGTAACCTCTCACTGGGTCTGCATGGCTCACTGCACAGCAGCACAAGGCAAATCACGAGCAATAGTGGCACTAGGCAGTTATCAGCTTAGCAGAGAAGCTGGAAATATTTTACAAAAGCCAGGAAAAAAGACATTTTCTCCCCCATACTGAGCTGCCTGCAGGTGCCCTTTCTAAGCCGCATCAAGCAGTAGCATCAAGAAGAAGCATCTGATGTATAGCCAAACACCTGTTACTGAAAATAGTGTAAGATTTGTGGTTTTCAAAAAAAACAAACTCTGAATTCATTAATTATTCTGAGCAACGTGAGAGAGGATTAGAGGATACGTGTATTCCCGTATTACTTTTTGAGCCACTTCAGCCTCGTGTCCATGCATGGAAGCTGCAGTATTGCACCGTACAGGTCAGTAGCGCATCGGACAGATTGCTCTGTCTTTGTCTGAACTGAGCAAGTTGAAAATAAGCCAGGAGAAGCAAAGCCAGCACTGAGATTCTCACTGTTTGAATATAAAATATTGCCTAAATAGAGAGAGAATTGGTTTGTGTGATGATCGACAACGTGCTCGTGGTTAGGTGAGCTGTTTTTGCCCCACTGACCAGTAGCAGCCTGATGGGTGGGACTGGGAGGAGGCAGAGGAGGAGGTTTGCAGCGAGGTATCGCTTGCCCATAGCTCATCAGCGCAGATTTCAGCTTCCTGATTGAAAGGGAAGGGCAGCCCCGACCTTGCTGCAGAGTAAAAATAGCTCAGCAGACAGTCAGCAAAGTTGAAGCCTGCGTCTCTCCAACTGCCGCTGCCTTTGGGAGCGGATGGAAGAGATTTTGGACAATACTATGTCAACAAAGCACCATCTAGTGGTTAAGGCACCGGGGCCTCCCCCCCGCCGAGCAGCTGCGCGCGCTGCCGAGCATCGCCTGGCTCACCGCAGCAAGATGCTGAAACATGGCTCCGGAGCCCAGGTCACCCCTGCATCCAGGAAAGCTGAGCCCGAGGAGGAGGCAGCTCCCCAAATCCTTTGGTTTTCTATGGTGTGAAACGCTGCAGTTGTTGCCTCTTGGCTGTGCCTTGGTCCTCTCGTCGTCTTGTCTTGCCTTTCTTGTGCCCGTGCCGGCCGCGGGCAGGGCAAGGGTGCTCGGCGGGCAGAGGGGTACAGGTTAGGCAGCAGGCTTGGGCAGGTTTGGGTGGGAGGGAAGGCTGCTGCTGGGCATAGACCGCAGTCGGGTAGCTCAAACAAGGAGCACCGCGCGATGCCAAGACTCGACTGCCGTATGCGAAGTCCTGCGTTACTGTCCCAGCTTGGGCTTCCCCGACCTCGTGCTGTATGTTGGTTTTCTCCCTGCAGAGTAAGCACGGTGAAAAGATTTAGCAAAATTGGTATCTGCAGCCTTATCTCAAACCTTTGGCCTCTGCCCTGCAGGAGGAGAGAGGGCAGCTTGGGATGGGCACCCCAGTTCCTCGTTAGCTGCCGTTTTTGCACGGTTAGGGCTTTCCTAGCGCGAGGCTGAGAGCAGTGCTGGGGTGGGAAGCAGCTGCCCTGTCATAAAGTGCTCGGAAACGCGCACATCAGTGGCGGGGATTTCGTCAGCACGTGCTCCGTCTGTGCGGCTCCCTCAGTGGTGCCCAGGGCCAGGGCTGGCAGGCTGCAGCCTCGTGGCTCCAGATGAAAGGTGCTTTGGAAGGTCTTCAAAGCGATTTTGTTAGAAAGCAGTGTGTCCCCTCCAGACGTGGGCATCACGTCCCACCCCTGGACTGGCAGCGCCCACATCTGTGGCACTTTTGAAGCCTGGCATTGTCCCTGCTTCAGGTTTGATCCCCCCAGGTGTGACACCGGGAGGAATTCTGTTGCTTGCTGTCTTGCTGTGTGGTTGGCAGCTGAGACTTTGAAGCAGGTTAGTGAGTGATGGACAATGACGTGCGACAGGCAAAGCTGATGCCAGCCGGTGCTGTCTGGCAGCTGTGTTTATCTGGCAGGGCAGAGATACCCTCTGCGGCAACCGATTCCGTTACTGTGCCAAAGGAGGAGAAGAGAGTGGGATTAAAGGACTCACTGGAATCCTGCTTATGTAATTAAAAAAAAATAGGAATCCTGACTTCCAGTAAAGAAACTTCATAAATATCTGAGTTTACGTTGGAGCGTAAAGTCATTTGTCAGCATCAAAACTGTGGCTGTCAGCATGGAGGAGTTTTACTCTTCCTGGCAAGGACTTAGGAGTCGCTAACGGCGCGTCCTACACCGGTGTGAGCTACAAGAACTGGCAGTTCGTTCCAACCCGTTTCTTTATCTGCATGAAGTGTTTTGCTCCAGCCTTAGCATGCCCGGGAGAAATCTACGTTTGATTTTCAAAACCATTCGTGCCGCTGTCGACCTTCAGTCGCTCCCTCCTGTTACAGCCCTGCCGTCGGCTTTGCCTTCTTGAAGTAGTCGTTCGGGTGAGAAACCCCTCTGCTCTCACCTGACTCGAGATCTGGTTTGCCACATATCCAGTAACTTTGGGCTGTATCTGGTGGGTGCTGGAGCAGTGCCTTACTGAAGGCTTGTAGGAAATCGCAGGTACGGTGCAGTAAGTCATGTTTCTGTCGCTGGTTGTTACAGAACCACCTTCAAGGGACTTAACTTTTTAGTGAGGTTCTGCCCGCCCCCATACGTCTGATTGATTGAGTTGTTGCGCTTATGGAAAAACCGCACCTGTAAACCCTGGTTGTGATGTGTGGGCTGCCCGTCAGCAGCTGCCTCGGTCTCTTTGGGTAGCACGTGGAGACCCTTGCTAACGGTGGCTCAGAAACCAGGTACAGAGACCTGAGCAGCTGTGCTCGGTGGCAGCAAGATTGCACAGGCTTGGTTTGAGCGTTAGGATGTTTTCTGCAGGAGGGTGGCACAGTCTGGGAGAGGTCTCCAGAGGGTGGTGGATCTCCGTCCTGAAGGTTTGCAAGATGTGACTGGACAAAGCCAGGCCTAACCCCTTGAAGGGCTGGCAGCAGTCCAGCTGTGAGCAGGAGGTGGGGCCAGGGACCCCTTCCACCACCCTGTTGTCATTCTCTGATTGTCCTGTTGTTTCTTGCAGGAGGAAGAAGGTGAGGATGCAGATATCTCTTCTGGTCCCTCGGTCATTAGCCACAAGATGCCTTCCGCTCAAGCCTTTCATCACTTTGCTCCTCGTTACGCTGAGATGGGCTGTGCTGGGATGCAGATGAGAGATGCCCATGAAGAAAACCCAGAAAGCATCCTCGATGAACATGTACAGCGTGTGATGAAAACCCCAGGCTGCCAGTCTCCAGGACCTGGCCGCCACTCTCCTAAGCCACGGTCCCCGGAAAGCGGCCACTTAGGAAAGCTGTCAGGGACACTAGGAACGATTCCTCCAGGGCATGGCAAGCACGCAACAAAATCAGGAATGAAACTGGATGCATCTAACTTATACCACCATAAACACATCTACCACCACATCCATCACCACAGCGTGATGAAACCAAAAGAGCAGATCGAGGCCGAGGCCACGCAGCGAGTGCAGAACAGCTTTGCTTGGAATGTAGATTCACATAACTATGCAACAAAGTCACGAAACTACACTGAAAACTTGGGCATGGCGCCTGTCCCCATGGACTCTTTAGGCTACAGGTGAGTCAAGGCAGCAGCCAACGGGAGTCCCAGAGCCGTGGCTTCTCTAGGAGTCTCTTTCGTAAGCGGGCTGTAGCGTGCCGGTGAAATGGAGTGGCTGATCCATGTTTTCTTGTGAAAGCCTATGCTGGGACGTGGTTTGAGGGCCTCTCACTGCTCCTGCCCTTCAGAAATGGATACACCCCCTGATAACCCCTGTGAACCCCTTGTCACCTCTGTGACTGGTGCTGAAAGACACCCTCTAACCAGGGTTTGTAGTGGCCTTGGTTATAAAGTAGTTTTTCTGCTCCTTAAAGCAGCAGAGGTGCTTAGAAACTGCAGATGCTTGTCTGCTTCCCCGTGCATTGGGAGTTGCTATGTGTAGGGCTGTGTCTCGGTGTCTGGGAACCAGAAACCGGTCTCCTGAGGTGTTCATGAGAGGACAAAAAAGCCCTCCTTATTGCAAGGCCTCACCCGTTCTGCAGAAAAGCTCCTTTCTTTTCCCAACGAAGCAATGGACGCTGCGGTGCTGCTGTGGCATCCTGTCCTAAGGGGACATTCTCCGGGGCAGGGGACCCTCTGCCCAGGAAAGACATACCGCTGCCCTATGGGCTTTTGTCCATCTTCCCTTGGCTGTTAGAATTCCTCTGTCCCCTCTGTGGTGACGGGAGCTGGTGAAGCTCCTTCTCCACCGCGGGTTTTGCTACTCCGGTTACTGGATGACTGGAAAGGTGAGAGCAGAGCTCCTCCGGGATGACCGGGGTAAGGGATGGGGATGGAGCAGCTGCAGGGGACAGCTGTGCTCACCCTCAGCTCTCCCGGCTCCCCGAGGCCGTGGGTTTGGGCTGATGTTTTGCAGCGTACCAGGGCTGAGATGTTTAACGAAGTCAGGTGATGGGGCGTGCAGTGGGAGCAGCGTTCCGGAGTGGTGGGCACAGAGACAGCTGAAGGTGGGTGCTCCCCAGGGAGAGAGAAGCCCTTGAGTCTGCCCTGTTTCTATAGGGAAAGGGTTGTTGCGTCAACAGAGCGTGAGCACGGCTGTCCAAAGCCCAAATCAAGACACAGGACTTCTCGCTCGCACTGACTACAGCACATATTTAAGGGCACAGTCAGAGCTGTCCTTCCTCTGGCACAAACTCCCAGTTCCCGACAGTCCCCGGGTTAGGAGCTTCACAAGACAAGTTTGCATCCGAACAGCCTGGCTGGGCAGCCAGCGGGCAAAAAAAGCCCTCAGCGAGGCCACTGGCCCCCTCCTCCCTGCGACTGGGGCTGCAGGGTGGTTCCAGCCCGGGGAAAAGGGCCTTTTTGTGTTTGCACTGAACCTGCTGCTGCAGAATTTCAGCTGATACCTTCTAGTCCTTTTGTGGGGGGAAGCAGAGAAGAGGTTGTCAGCTTGTCCTGCCTTTGTAGATCTTCAGCAACCCCTCCAGGCTTATTCCCCAAAAAATCAGCGAAGGTGGCTGGGAGTCTGTTACTCCGCTTTGGCGTGCAGGTGGTTTGCCTGTGTTAGTGAGCACGCAGGGGCCGAGGTCGGGAGGTCCTGTGGAGTGAAGCGGGTGGGTGGTCAGGGCAGGGAGGGGCCCATGAAGTTACAGGCTGCGGCAAGGGCAGGCGAGCCCGGGTGAATTTGGCACGACCTGGTGAGCGCGGGGCCGGGCACGTGGGCGAGGAGCGGTGGGTTTCTGTAGGAGCTTTTGCTGTAGCCACAGCGTAGCCAGAGCGTCGGCCACTGCCTGGCTTCCGTCGGCTGCGGTGTTTGAGGTGGCTGCGCTCCCCAGGGCATGAGAGCCTGCAGAAGGCAGCCCCCCCTGTGCTGGGGTGTGATCTGCCACCATGCTGTGGAGTCTCTGTTCAAATTGGGGCGAGAAGCAAACGCTGGGGACGGTCTGGGGTGTCAGTGGATCGGGGGGCGGTGGG